AGCACCTGGCACATAGTAGGTTCTTTAACATGGGGGTTGGCTGGGCGTGGTGGCTCATGCCTGTAATCCCAGCACTTTGGGAGGCTGAAGCAGCAGATCACGTACACGTCAGGATTTCAAGCACCAGCCTGGGCCAACATGATGAAACGCCTGTCTCTAACTAAAAAAATAAAAAGGCTCAGTCGCGGGGTAGCCAGTGGCTCACGCCTGTATCCCAGTACTATTCGGGAGGCCACGGCGCAGGTGGAATCACAAGGCAGGAGTTCGAGACCAGCCTGGCCCAACATGTGAAAACCCCGTCTCTACTAAAATACAAAAAGAAAAAGAAAAAGAAAAATAGGCTGGGTTGGTGGTGGGCGCCTGTAATTCCAGCTACTACAGGGACAAGCCGCAGATATTCCTTGAACCCGGGAGGTGGAGCCTTGCCAGTGGCCACGTCACGCCACTACACTCCAGCCTGCGATGACAAGAGCAAAACTCCAGCTCAACAACAACAACAAGAATAAAATTAAAAAAAATTACAGCCAGCGCGGAGCTCACACCTGTGATCCCAGCCACTCCTGGTTTGGGGAGTGGCGAGCGGGTGCTCACCTGCGTCGGAGTTCGAACCGAGCCTGACCAACAATGCGCAGCACAACCCCCGTCTTCTCTAAAAATACAAATTAGTCAGTACTGGATGGACCATTGCCTGTAATCCCAAGCTACTCTGGAGGCTGAGAAGCAATGACTTGAACTGGAGGCAGAGGTTGCTGTGACGATCGCGCATTGCACTCCATCAACTGGGCAACAAGGCGAAACTCCATCTAAAAATAATAATAAAATAATATAAGATAATAAAAAAATTACAAAGCCTAGCTGGGTGTGGTAGCTGGTGTAGCCCACACTTGTGACTCCCAGCTACTTGGGACGGCCTGAGCGCAGGCAAATCGCCTGAACCTGGGAGTAGAGGTTGGCAGGAGCTAAGAATACGCCCATCACACTCAGCCTGGGCAACCAGTAAGATCTGTCCTGGAGAAAATAAATACAATAAAATTAAAATGGGGGTCAAAGAATTGCTATTATCCACATTTAGAAGCAGAGAGTTGATTCCAAAGCCAGTGCGCTCCATGCCTGTAACCTAGAACTCTGGGAGGCTGATGAGGCAGGAGGATTGGCTTGAGGCCTAGAGTACAAGACCAACCTGGGCCAACATAGTGAGAACCATCTCTTAAAAAGTAAATATTAAAGGAGTAAAAAAAGCCCTCAACTTCTCAACCTCAGCCTGGATCAAAAAATCCAGGAATCAAACTAACAAGGCTTCCGCACTTTTAGGGAGTTATCCAGTGGGTGCAGTTCGTCGCAGCCAGGCTACATTAACCTTTATAAAATGGTATTGTGCGGGCGGCGCACGGTGGTTTCATGCACCTGTAACCCAGCACTTTGGGAGGTTGGGGCGAAGCTTGCA